ATATTAGTAAATGATACTTACCAAACAAGAACAATGTTATATGTACATATTAGTAAATGATACTTACCAAACAAAAACAATGATATATGTACATATTAGTAAATGATACTTACCAAACAAGAAAATGTTATATGTACATATTAGTAAATGATACTTACCAAAGAAGAGAAAAGCAATTACGTGGTCATATGAGAAGTGGTAACTTTATAACCCAATCTGTGTGAAAAGTAAGGCGAAACGACTTTAAGGAAATAAAAGTATCCAATCTGCCAGAATCTCTAGAAAACACACGTATGGTTTTATGATACACAAGGTGAAACAAAAGTCACTATACAGTTGCTACTTCTAAAGACAATATTACAAAGACAACTGAACCCGATTAGATATTAAACTACGTTACAAATGAAACAACTGTATAGACACTTGTTTACCAGCCTTGTTGTTACTTGTCCTTTTTAACTTTGTAGTGTATAGGGTGTTCAGAGCTGTAAATAATTGTAATATATGCAATTTTCTGTATAGAAGAGCTCATATATAGGTAGGCCGGCTCGGTATGCCCAGATGGTTAGGGCGCTCGACTCGCAATCTGAGGATCGCGGGTTCGAAACCCCGTCCTACCAAACATGCTCGTCCTGTGAGCCGTGACGATCAATCCCACTATTCGTTGGTAAAAAAAGTAGCCCAAGAGTTGGCGGTGGGTGGCGAGGACTAACTGCCTTCCCTGTAGTCTTTCACTGCTAAATTAGGGACGGCTAGCGCAGATAGTCCTCGTGTAGTATGGAGCGAAATTCAAAACAAACCAAATCAAATAGGTAAGCCACATGTTAACACCAAAGCTGATGAAACTAATGTATATATATATATATATGTGTGTGTGTGTGTGTGTGTTTAATATATGGTTCAAAATAGTTTAGTATTAACGGAAATAAATACCTTAGTTTTCACGGCCCAGCCATTGATAACCTTAAGTCGTTGTAAACTGAAAAACATTTTAATATTTATAAAAGTAGCAGTTTTTCCTACGAGAAAGTATTGCTGGCCTAACAGCTCTATCACACTAAGAAACGATATTGTGTGAGAAATCCAAGTTGTTTTGTAGCAAAACTGTGAACTACAATTGTGAATTGTAACGATTTTCTTTGACAAGGTTTTCAAATATACAAAAGTTTAAAATACCAGTGAATAATTGAGATATTCGATTAGTACGTGTGAGAAATCGATAGAACGTAATAAATTGGTTTTATTCAGTTTTTATAATTACTGTCCAACGAGTGTTCGAACGAGTGATTTCACACCCCTAACTAATGTA